TGTAAGTGTCTGTGTAAGTGTCTGTGTAATTGTGTGAAGAGGGAAAGTGTGTAAGTGTGAATAAGTGTGGGTAACTGTGTGTAAGTGTGTGAAAGTGTGTTATAGTGTGTAATGGTCTTCCAGTTAATAGCACATGGGGCGAAGACCGCCGGAATGCCGAATGGCCTAACAAGACTCGTAGACCATTCGAGAGGTCTTATTTGTTTAGTATTAACCCACTAATTGGTCGAATAAATCGATAAAAAACAATTTTGAAATTAGTTTGAAATAATTCGTTTTTCKCGTCGTTTCAGTTTTCAAAACCGGCACTTCTCGCTACTTGTGGTCTATCATTAATACACCACTAGTGGCTCAGGCAATCAGAGCGCAGGATTCGTGATAGACCATTAGTAGGCTTGTACTTATACATGTTAACAACATTAGGAAAAGAGAAAGAATGGTGGGATCGGAAAGGGAAAACGATAGCAGTTTCGTCAACAGATCACATTGTTGTCTTGTCTTCCAGGAGCATACGGTGTGACTACCCCAGGGGAGTGGGGTTAGTGGTCGTCATGTAGTTTAACATGTTTTCGTGTTGTCTTGTCTTCCAGGAGCATACGGTGTGACTACCCCAGGGGAGTGGGGTCAGTGGTCGTCATGTAGTTTAACGTGTTTTCGTGTTGTCTTGTCTTCCAGGAGCATACGGTGTGACTACCCCAGGGGAGTGGGGTCAGTGGTCGTCGTGTAGTGTAACATGTGGTGGAGGATTACAAGTAAGGAATCGCACATGTCTGGTTCCGCTGCCTATTTTTTCACAAATGGACTTGACGGGCAAAGAAACAACGGAAACCAGGAAATGTATACCTTTCTACTCTTGTCCAGGTTTGTATTTGTTGCTATAGATACGTGTGTTTACTGCAACCTTTGCTGCGGTGCAGAGGGGGATTTAAGAGAGACCTTTGTGATGACATGTAATATATTATTTGATGTTATCAGCACCACCCGCACAAGTCCATGCCGAAACCGTCGATTCAACATCCATTCAAGTATCGTGGTCTCCCTTTATACTCAATTCGTCTTCAATGGAACTAGTAGGCTATGAAATAAACTTTCAACGTTTGTTTATGTTTCCTCGTATGTCTACAAGGAGAACAAGAAGAGCTGCCAACCAAGTCGCTACAAACCAAATCGCATTCAATCACGTGATTCATAAAGCATCAGATACAGGTCACGTGATGATACCTCCTAGTTACCAATCTGCTGTATTGAGTGGTCTGTTTTCTTATTCTACGTATTGTATACGAATTGCTACAGTTTCAAATATTTGGAAAAGTGAGCCGAGCGCATGCGTAAACGTAACTACTGCAGAAGATGGTAAGTCAGGATAGGTACGTTACCCTTGGGTACTGTACGCCAGAATCTCCGAGGCAGGGATGATGGTGCTACCAGTTACGTGGCTCAACTCAACTGTCTTACAATATAATTCTGATTTCTTCTAACTATGTCGAAGAGAGATGCTGGCCGAATAAATCTCCTAATCACTTTGGTTTTTAATAATGATGATGATGATGATGATGATGATAATAATAGTATTAATGATAATAATAATTCCTAATATTTAAAATATCTTAATCATAATAATACCTAATTGAGTAGTAGGCTACGACAGTGAGTGCGACAGTTATTTCCGATATCAGGGAAGTCCCAATATTGATATCTTCTCAGCGTTTAAACACTCAACTTTTCCAATATATGAGTGTGGTCCAGCATCTCCTTGACCACAAATGTCAATCATTATTATCGTAAACCATCAAAATGTTTTAATCAATATCGAATATAGAATAAATGTAGCAAAGAGTGGCATAACAGGATCCATGCTGAGTCAGCAATCTGTCTCCATTTGTTTTGATTTTTTTAGTTCCAAGCTCAGCGCCGTTAAACGTAACAACGAAAAACCTGACAAGTGTCCATAAAGTTGAAGTCACGTGGACGACTGTTCCGTCGGGAAAACACAACGGAATAGTACTTGGGTACCACATCAGAGTTCGCCCGCTGACCATCGCTAATGCGAAGCCCAAAGACGCAAGCGAAAAGGTTTTTACGGTGTTGATACCACTTGTTACGACAGTGCTGACAGGACTGGAATCGTTTACTGTCTACAGTATCCAGATAGCCGCCTTCACGGCGATAGGAGATGGACCTTACAGTCCACCAGTCATTGCTGGTAAGTCTATTGTCAACAACATGATCTCAAATAAAGATATTAATTATAGACATATTTTACTGAGTATCTCAATTCTGATTGGTCGAGAGTCCTCAGCCAATCCCTGATATCGTGTGAACTCGACATGATAAATGTATTATCTGTACGTTTTCCTGCAGATAATACATTTATCATGTCAAGTTCATTCAAGGTSWCGCTGTGGTAGCTTTGTTTTTATTTATTATGTATATTTATTTCCAGAATTATGTACAAAAAAAATTATTTAAGGAATCCTTAACTTATTTTCATATATTTTATGAAGAATTCTCGAAATATTTCTGAATTAAGCATTTTGCGTTTTTCAGGCGACATCATGGCGTGTTTATAATTCTTGTCTCTATAATTTAATGTTCATGTTAATGTTTTTCTAGTTTACAAAATGTATACTCGTTCCTTATAGAAACCTGCCGCTGTCCAAAACGAATGTACGCCAATTGGTGGATTCTTCCTCCTCTAACGACTAGGTCAGGAGGCGTGTCTCGCGGTATATTCCCAACATTGCTATCCAATATGATCAAATACGCATGCGCGCTGTGCAAAGGCCATAGACAAACTGTACTAGAGTTGGATAAAACAAATCCTAAAGAAAAGAATCACTCATTTGCCCTGAAAGAAAACCAACTTCAGGTCAGAAAAGCCATCAAACGTACAGTTCATGTTAGTTATCCGCTGAGTGTAGAGAAGACAGAACAGTTGTCTGGTGAGGGTTTTCAGTTCGTACCTGTGATCGAGGTGTCCTCAGCTGTCGTATATATCAAGAAGAAATTATCTTATGAAGTATATGCCAAGATGCTTGGCTCATCTCTGTTCAGCTGCTGGCCAATGACCGTCTTGGTTTTCGTACTCTCCTTACTTGCTGGCACCATACTGTGTATTCTGGTACGTCTGTCTTAAATTACTCTTACTTCAAGCTATACACCTATTTCAATGAACGTTTCATCGCCAAAAGGCGATAGGCAATAGGCAAAAAGCTATAGGAGATAGTTCAAGAATAGTTCAAGATCCAAGAATAGCTGGAATGACTTGGGTTTCTGCTTCTTATTCTCGTCAAGAACATGGACCTTAGTGTTGAGACTGTTCAATGTTCTTTGTATTCAACGAAACCATTTCTATGTTGGAATAACCTATCGTCTATTGTCTTTGATTGAAATAGGTGTATACAGCTATTTCAAAAAATGTTGAAGGGGAGAACGGACATAGGTAATAAGCGATAGGCGATAATTGGTAGGAGATAGGTCATTCCAAGATGCACGAATAGCTGGAATGACTTGTATTTCTTATCACTATTCTTGTAAACAAAAGCTAACCACACAGATGTTGTTGTTGAAATAGTTAGTGTTCACATATAGTCAATGCCAAACCATTTTAAAACGCCTGGATTATTCGTGTTTAGATGTATGCCCACTGTGCCTCTTGGTCGAGCAATCGCCAGTCACCGATCGCAATTTGCCGTTCGCCCCTTCAACGTTTTTTTTTTTGAAATAGCTGTATGACATATGTTTAATCTTCCTGATACAGGAGACGATATCTTACCCGCAACAGGTCATGGGCAATTCATCGTTCTTGAGAGCAATATACGAATATTCTTGGTGTGCATTCATATCAATGACCAGCGTCGGGTGAGTTACTCTTTACACACGAGGAGCTACGAGGTTAGGGTGCGTTAGTTGTGACATATTTCCGGATTCAACTGCTCGCAAAAATTGCTAAAATGAAGCGAAAAGTGTTCTCAATTACTGAGCCTCCAATTAAAACAATTAGAAATTTGAAAAAAAATGTTGTCATGAAAAAAAAGCACGAAAAATCTTTTTAGAACTGCTTTTCTCTTTGGACCCACAAGTCGTTTCTCCATATGATTGAAGTAACACCATTAGCATAGTCATGCCTGAATGATCTGTATTTGATGGACAGGTATGGAGATCGCTTCGCTCGGTCCAATCAGGGACGAATATTCACCATGCTTTGGTTCATCGTTGGTTACGTCGTCACAAGTATATTCGTCGCTACACTTGCATCTTCGCTTAACGTTAAAGTTGTTGTTACAACGAAAAGTCCCTCACAGGGAGGAAAGGTAATGATGCCGCTGAATGAGATTGTGAATAGGTTATGACACCGAGCGGCAAAAGTTTCTCTGTTACAGTAAATGGGCCTTACACAGGCGGCTACCATGTTGACTGGAACAATAGATTTTTCCAAGAGCAGCCTTACATTCGAGCGCTTGAGAATAAATTGGTGAAGACTAAACATGGCTGCCCCGTGAGTAAGGCCAATGACATAAAAGCACATTTTACTGAGCAAATCACCGGAAGTCTCACCAAAAAGATACGGATAATTTGTCCCCGATTGCACCAGACTACAAAAAGTGGTTTTTGCGGTCCTGTAGCGATGATGATTGCCTAGAAGGGATCAAAGGTTTTTGTGGCATAACGATACGATCCTTTTAATCAATCAATCAATCAATCATTTTTATT